AGCGATTTTTATAAAGTGAAGGCCGCTAGCTGATTTGCGCAACTACCTAGATGAAATAGAATGGATAGAATACAAACCACAAAGCGACAGGTTTACGATGAGTGGTAGAATCAGGTTCAAAACACAAAACTCACTATCAAAGCGTACATGGCGTTCTAGTGCCTGCATTATTTGCTCAAAAAAGCGTGTCATCCCCTTTTCATGTTGCGTTGTAGGGAGGCCAGGACGCTTTCGAGGAATGTTGATTTCGATTTTGGCCCGCACAATTGTCGTTGTACTGGTCACCAGACAGACGTAGGCTAAACCCTCGTGCATGATTACGGCAGCCAGGTCCGCATGTTGTGTTGGGTCTGCAGCCTGTTCGACCAACATCAAGGCTATACTATCCCATTCGCTTTTGAAAATGGTGAATTTCTCGTCCAGCGTCAAGTCCAAAGTGTGATAAGCTCCCATTTTGACAAACTGGTTCTCGGCAACATTGCGGCCCTTCAGGTGCAAGACGGAACCCTAAAATAGCAAATAAGTGTGAAGCTGCCGTAAACCTGCATACAGACGGACACAAAAGCAAACTAAGTGGTTGCGAGCTTGCTTACTGTCGAAGGAGAATACACTTAAGTTATGTTCAATTGATATAGTAAGGAATACTGTATAGAAAAGAAGTTGGTTATCGCGTAACAAAGGCCACAGGTTGAACGTTGGTTTCAACGCTCTTTGCAACAAGTGGTTTCGATTCGATATCTGAATAACGGAAATGGAAGGAAATAGAACTATCTAAGATTGCTTCTTCAGTCACAACACGCATAACAACCAAAATGCTATGAATAAATGTTATCAGGCCCATGACGTATAGGTCAGACACAATGCTGAGTGGAGTCCACTCAATCGCATAAACAGAGCGCAGCATTAGCCTCTAAGGAGTGAACAGGAGTGCGTTCATTAAATTCCATACTAACGATCGGTTAAATAAGAAAACAACGGAAAGCGCTAAGTCGGTCTCAACCAAATGGACAGAATACCAGTCGACTGTTGCCGAGCTGGAGCTGTTGTCTAGCTACTGACCCTGTTAAGCAAGTAAAGAACTATTGCTTCCGAGCCATGCGCCAACAGGTGTACCTATTTCACCCCAAATGCTCACCTAAGCTGCAGACGAAGCAAAACGGACCAGAAATGTTCATTTTGCGGCATCGCGTACGCAGGAACACTTAGGCCTTAATTCCCATTCATTCTCTTGACGGCGGTTTGCAATGTTTTTGATTTGGTGAGAATACTGCCCCTGGATGACACGGTCAAACGATCCGTCTATCTCGGAATACTTGGTCTTAGTTCATCCTAGGATTTTTCCCTAAGACAGTGTCTGATAATTGCACCCTGGTAGTTGTTTGGTTTCAAAGTGCTTCGCAACGATAAGAATTCCCTAGCATTTGATTTGTAGCGCATATTGATCCTATCCGACGAAATAAATATTAAACAGAGATTTCCCGTGCTCAATGGAAATTGCCGTTCGATAAAAAGTTAAGTTTTGCAGCGCAGGAGCGAGGAAACATATGTCTTGAGGAGCTGATGACAGTGAGTGAGTGAGTAGTTTGATTGGGTTTAAGGCATTTAGGGAACCAATCCATGAGATTTCTTATGACTAGCAGACTTGATCAGGGGCGTTCAGTCGCGGGTCAACATTTCGCTTTTGAAACAATAGCTTTGTCAGGCCAAGTGAGTAAGTAGTTTGATTGGGTTTAAGGCATTCAGGGAACCAATCCATGAGATTTCTTATGACTAGCAGACTTGATCAGTGCTGGGCGTTCAGTCAGATGTTTCTATTTGTTGGTTAGTGGGGATGACTAACATTTACGATATATTGGTTAGGGGGAGGATTTGTTTTCATGTTGAATCCGAATTTTTCGTCCTTGATTTTTCAGTCTAGAACATCTTAAAGGAAAATTCCTCTTGGGGTTGTTCACAGATTTCCTTCACCTGTGTTCGTCAAAGGGTGCCGGGACAATTGGTTTTGGGATGGGGGTGGGGGCGGTTGATTGGATCTGACTCCACTTGGATTTTGTACTTTTAGACCCAGACCATTTCGCTGATAACTGTACATCGTTTCGTGTCATCTCGACTGATCTAAGACAGTTCTCTACATGTTTTCAAGTTCTATCCCCTCTATTCTATTAACGCTGGGATGTTTGGCTATTTCCACCGCCTCGGCCACCAGTCGCTGTGGTGTGAATCTTAAACCCCGTCTCAGGATGTCCACATTTTCTAAATCTATCCTATGCCGTGTCTAGTGCATGCCCTGCCGAATCTTCGTCTACCGCCTGGCATTCTCGGTGGTCTATTAATGGAACACTTATGCTCACCTATTTTGGTGTGCAATTCGTTGGCTGCCTGACCTATATAAACCTTCGTACAGTAGTTACATTTTATTTTGTATCCATAGTTCCTAGTCCTATCAACCGGAAGGCGATCCTTCAAATGCACCAACACCGATCGTAAAGTATTTTCCTTCTGGAATGCTACTCTAACGTTAGCCGAATTCAGTCATCATCATCATCATCATCATCATCAATGACAGCAACATCAGTGTTGGCACTGATGCTTCACTGCCGTACAACCATAAAGTTCGTTTAGTTATATATATATATATATATATA